TAACACAGTGGGTAGGCAACGATTTTATTTGCTTATTTATTTTAATTGCATTAATATTAACAATCATATCACAGTCATATTAACCCTTTGGTGGAGGCTCATCTGTGCATTTCTAGGCTCAGCTGAGGTCACTCGTGCCTCTGCAGTCGGCCAGCAGCTCAGCCGGAGCTAACTGGTGTGTTTGTGAGTCGGTGCTGGCTCTTGTTGACCCCGTGTGTTCAGCAAGCTAATGCAGCCTTTGGTGGAGGAAGAGGTCCCAGCAGTAAGGAGTGGTTTTTGAAGAGTCCATGTAGGAGAGAACTACACAAAACTACAAAGACCATGAGTTGTAAGGCAAGGGGTGCATTCATTATTTACTGAGGGCTATTACTATAATCTCCCACACATGATAATCAAAACTCAAGGCAGCAGCATTGCCACACACATCTTTAATGCATTAGCTTTTAACCCTCCATTCTTTAGACCTGCATTTCCTAAAGGGTATTACAGGTGTAGTTGGAAGTATCTTTGCACTCATAACTCATTTTCTACCTCAAGTATTCCTTCTACACCCTTTCCCTGTCTTGAGCTCTCTTACGAGAAAGCTAGATCATTTTCTCAGGGAAGAGAAGTTACAGCCGAGTATGAAGATAAGGGGGCTCTTTGTCACTTAGGAGTTTTAAAAAGTAGTTTCCTAGTAAACAAAAACAATTTATGGCAGAGTAAAGATTTAGGTGGAAATGTCATGAGAAAAGCCAAAAGCCATTAGGGATTTGGGACATGTTCCCCTTTTCCTGCATAGAAACCAAAAGGAAGCAGGAGGCCGGCACAGAACACCTCAGTGACACGTCCAGCAAAGATGGGCCCTGCACATTCACAGGGAGTTTCTTCCTTGTACCTCAAGGTATAACAGATGAGTGAAATTCCTGTCCATCCCAGAATGGTATAGAAGTAAATGAGGAAGCCACTGGATTTGAATAAAACATGTCTCAGCAACAGGCAAACGAATTCCACAGGACCAGAGCAATTAGGACATCTTAGCAGATGCCGGAGTACCAGCCAGGTCAGTGCCACCACATCATTTCACACCCTCCTAACTCCTTTGGCACTGGAAGATTCCAGAACATAGATACATGCATGGGCAAAGTAGATACTTAAATTTCTACCAACCTGGGAATAGAGGCTCAACCTAGAAATCAAATTATTTAAAAATGTAACACAGTATGCTTCTTACATATATCAGTTTGTAGACTTGAGTTTGGTACCAATACAAAGAGAATACTTGACCCGTGCATTGATTTCCTAGAAAGGGTTTCCTGGTCAAATGGATTTGGGAAATGCTGTATTTTCCTTTTGAAAGTCAAAATGACCATTATTGTATTAAAGTTGTAGAAAATACCAACAGTAAGGAAACTCAAGGGTTTTCCACATTTATTTGATCTGGGACTAACTTTTGGAGTAATTCAATTAATGATCCTGGGAACATTCATTAATAAACACTGCTCTAAATTTATCTTCTCAAATCAGAGATTTTATCTTTTCATTCACCTGCTCATTCACCACTGCATTACAGTGGATCTTCTGATTTCATTTTCAGGAAAATGTCCTTCCTAACATCCTTCAAAATGCAACCTGCTCTGGTAATCAATTTTATCTTCAGTCTTTCCCAGGGTAAATCCTTTAGCTAGATCAGACACTTAATTGTTGTCCGAATATGTCCTACTCATTTTTCTAACTCTAATTCACAATTTCTTGGTCTCTGTATATCCACATTGGGTTCTCCTCTCCCAAAGATTTCACAGAAGCCTTCCCTAACCTAAAATTGTTCTTCTATAGTGCATGAGCATTTGACCCTGCTGGACATTGGCTCATGTGCTGCTTTGCACCATCAGGAGTCATGCTGGTATGTTTATACATTGTCCAGCAGATACACATCCCTGTGGTAAATGACTATATCTTCTGTTAGCTTATATTTTAATACCTGTGTAATGTCTAATGAAGGTGTATGAATGAATATGTGTAGTTCTCTAAGTGCAGAGATTTCACATAGATTGGTAACACTGCGAGTGTTAGAAGAGGTAGAACCCAGTATATATGGAATTTCAATGGGTAGCAATAAAACATCAGTTTGACTTTTTTAGCTATGACTTCACAGCTTTCACTTGTTCTCTAGTTCTGGAATACGCTATTTTTAATTTTGCATTAAAAAAATGGGATATTGCTTTATATTTGGGATTAATTGCATGTTTGTATGAAATGTCTTATGTGGCTCCCCCTATATGGGATACTGTGACTCGCTTATAGGGATCTCTATGTAAAAAATGTCTTGCTTAATGACAGTAATTCTACATCTGTGTGTCTTACCATACCTAATGAAAACAAATTCCAAGTACCGTTAAAACAAGGATGTACTTCTTGAATGGCAGCAAAATTGACTGAGTAGTATAAACCATGTCTTTGTACTTTGTTGATTCTAGTCCATTTAATATAATAACTGTTAATGAAGTTTTGGGTTTTGGAGAATGTGTGAATTTATAACTTTATGAGCCCAATAGTTTGAATCAGTATTGGATTAGTTTAAAAATGTAATTGCATTAATAATTCCTACTTGTATAAGGCCCATAGGAGAAATAACAGGTACTTTTCTAATTAGAAGAAAGAATAAATTACTCTCCCATTACTTCCTATATGAAATAAAACTTCCTTACTCAATACTTAATTTTAAATACCCAATCTGTGTTGGGGAAAGTTCTAAATGCTGGATGGGGATCCAAGCCTTCAGGTACCCTCCTCACAATAATGCTTCTCACTCCCAATGTATCTCACTCTGCATAGCCCGGGCTCTTCATCCGCATTGGTCAGTGTCCCAGGGTCAGCGTCAGTCACTTCCGCTGCAAGCATGTGCTCACATTATTGCCGCTGCTGGATGGCGGCCTTCCTGACCTCCTCCCCTGTCCAGATCTGCCCTATTGAACAGGTTCCCAGCAAAGTTGGCCTTGATTTGTGTGGTCCTGTTGCCATTTCCTCTTGAATTTTTATAACCTTGTGGCCATTTTCACATATTTTTTGTGAAATGTAGTCTTTACTCAAAGGCATATGCTTGTTCTTTAGATTTCTGAAATCAAAGTACCTCTCTTACATGTGCACATGTTTTTTTCAGTGATTCTCTGTACCCCCAACCCCAAGTGCTTTAAATCGATAATGCATGTGTCATGCATGGGCTCTAGAAAACTTGACTTTTTAGTGGTTCTCAGGTGGTCCTCCATGCACCTCCTGGGGCCTCCAGCAACAGGGAAACTTAGTGGAAACCCCTGGAGCCCTGCTTTGGTCACATCTTCAACCCTGAACAATGAGTTTCATTTTTTTTCTGGTAATTTTTGCTTTATTATTTATGTATCTGAACAAAAGGTTTTGTGAACCTGAAAATATTGGTATAAATGCTTAGTATGTTTTAGCTTTGTGTCTCTTGTCAGATCACGGGCTTCTGGCACAGATATGGTTGGATGACTGGGTCACCTGGTTCTTGACTGGTTTGTGTGCAAACGTGCAGACTACAGCCGCAGCAATCACTCTTCTTAATCTTTTGAAATAGCTCTGTGCCAGGCTCCTAAATGTTAGTTTCTGTCTGGGTTCTCATTTTTCTGCAAAACAGTGTCTAGGGCCTCCCAGAATGAACCTGAATTCCAGCTCCATTATGTCTTTATAGATGGTAAGGTTTAGGTTTCTTTCCAAAGCACACAAAGGGATTTTAAGAAGATCTTTAAATGGCTATAATTTAAGATCAGAAGCTATTATTCTTGAGATAAGATTAGAATTTGCAAGGAAAAAAATACAGCTTTTATTTAGAAATGTGGCATCTTGAACCTAGAATTCCACTGCTGCAGAAGTTCAAGTTAAACACAGTTGGGAGGCAAGAATTAAATGTGGGAAAACTGGAAGGCGGTGTTTTGAAGACTATGTAATGAGTGGATTTACACTTTAAACTGTTGTCCATTTCCCCCCTTTTATTCTGTTGTACTGAGAAATACATATATTTGCAGGCAGTGAGAGCGTGCACATGAAAGCACTTTACTGTAAGGAATTGACTCACACACTGGGGTGCTGGCAATATGAAATCTGTAGGCCAAGCTAGCAGGCTAGAAATTCAGCTCTTGAGTCCAAATTCCACAGGCTTGTCAAGCAGGTGAGAAACTTAGGGTTAAGGCTGAATTCCTCCTTTGTGAGGCCTATTATTGCTCTTAAGGTCTTCAACTGATTGAGTGAGGCCCACCCACATTAAGGAGAGTTACCTGCTTTACTCAAAGTCTACTGATCTGGATGTTAACCACACCTAAAACATACTTTTAAAGCAACATTTATTCATATACTTTTTAATCCCCTTCACCTATTTCACCTACCTACCCCAAACCCTCTTCCATGGCAACCACCAGTCACTTTAATGTCTGTAACTCTACTGCTGTTCTATATT